TCAGCTCACTCAGTCTGCCCAGATGTGTGTGTTTATGTAGAGTAGAGGAGTGGTGGGCTGAGAGCAAGGCTGAAATGGCCAATTCTGAACGTGGCCTACGGCACTCTCGCGCATGTGGGATGCACGCCGCTCAACCCCTTGCTAGGCCAACCAAGCAGGACGTGAGTGGACGACCAAGCAGGAGACTACGCGAGTAGACAGCCACATAGGTAACTGTAAGAAATCTGTTTTTTTTTTACTTTAGTCACACTTATGTTTCAGTTGAAGTCGTTTCTCTGATAATTTCCACGTATGTGGAACTTTTTATTTAGAGGCTGGCTTGACGACACTAGCGATTTAGTAATCGCAAACAGTAAAATAATCTCATGCAGAATAAAGGGAGACTCGAGAAGTCGTGATACAGTTCAGCGGATGACGTCGTCTGTGCATGCTTCGCAGGCGGATAGCCTATCTTTCAGCAATCTGAGGGGGTTGCTCTTGAAGCACAAGCAGTATTTGTCCTTAGTCACGTTAATATCGTGGATGCCGGGCAAATCTTCCATGCATGCGTCACTCACGGACTTCGTGATAAGAAACACTTGGACAGGCGTCTTACCATTCTTCTGCAGTCAAGCAGAACAGCCCGGGGTAACAATTGGGAGACCGCACCCAAAAAATCCGTTACCTAGAAATAATACCTTTAACAGTGGACTCAAACGCCTTCAAGCTATATCAGCGGTTGCAGGCCTACTTTCACGCACTAGTTGGGCTAGCCGAACGAACATCGCAGGAGGTTACATGGACGATGGTCGCTGTTACCCAACCTTCCCCATCGTTACACACGTACACCTGAATATACGGCATACATTCGCATTATGGCAATTTATTACAAAACAAAATCACTCTTAAATAGGATAAGTCTTCCCAACATGGGACAGGAACAGTTCCCAGGCATCAATCAAAGACATGGCAATGAGGCCAAACCAAAGACGATACTGTACTTCGTCTATGTGAGCCCACACAGCTGGACCACATACAGGACCTCCCTCGTAGAGTTTCCTTTTCAGTCTACTGTAGTATGCCTCAATGACATTGGTGTGCTGTCCGGTGATAGAGTCCTTGAAGTTCTTTGAGTGGTTAACAGAAAAATATAGATAACCTGCTGAGGGAAGACGATTATACGCCTTTCACTCGTCCGTTACCACTATACTGCGTTTTGCGACCCATTTTGTAATAACGGAACGGAGAGCGGGCCAACTTCGATCATTCACCTGTTCCAATAAGGCTATCCGTCGGCTGGTATCGTACATCCCGACCAGCCACCACCCATAAAACCCCTATTACCACCTACCCCGTAAGACAGGCTGCTTTGCATAGACGGATTTTTTTGAGTGTCATTTTCCGATTGTTACCCAGCCCGGACTTAGGCCGTTCAAGTAATGATGTTGTGACCCCAGTCGCTTGCTTGCCAGGAACCACCGGTGTCTTGTTACAGGTTCCTTACACCATCGACTGTGGAAAACTGAAGAGTTCAAACTTCGAACTAAATTTATCGTCACTAGATAATTTTCTTTTCGAGAAAAGGGTGGTATTTGAATTAATGAAAGGACTGCTCTTCGGGATTTGTCACAGCTGGACCTAAAATGCCCATGGCAGCACAGTCCATCAACATTGGTGTCTAATGCCCTATATAAATTCACTTGTCGTATAAGAAGCTGCAGACGGTGAGGTGCAAATAGGACGTCAGTTTGCATATTCCAACGATTCTGTTTCCCTCGTAAGGTGCACATAATTTGTTTTATTCTCATTTGCGTCTGGTAAAATGTTTCAGTTTTTATCTGAGACGGGCGTGAGGTCGATTTTGGTCTTTTAAATCACATCTTTAAATTTGATCCCTTAGATCTGAAGAGTGAGATCGCGTAAATTCGCTCGCTTTTAGCAGCAGTGAAATAAAATATCTTACCGTATGTCAAGAATCTCACCTAAAAATGTAGGTAACTATTACGGAAGTCCAGATATATGCTCAGGTTATAACTTTTTGACCGAATGCACTTAACCACGTGGTCGTCACAAGGAAATGGACTTTTAAAGTCCGAAATTTGCTTTCAAAAGGGTCCACTATTATCTAGTTACACTAAACAATTTCCAACACATAAATAAGCACATAAGCGCATTCGGAGTGCTCAATTTGAAAAAAATAACGTTTAAGTAAAAGAGTAGTCTTTTACCAGCTTTTGATTTATTTTTGTGCCAGATATAGTCTTTGCATACCAGGAGATTTAGAGTGCTCAAACAAAACCGCGTGCGTTGGATAATTTTTCGTAGAAGTACGGGCCAAAGATAATTCGACTAGTTCTACTCATATTTGCCGCACCAGAAATCTGCCAAAAAGGTTTATGAGCTGAAAATGGGGAAAAGTGCAAAAGGAGGAATTTGTGAGGTATTTGATTTGAGATGTGCGTGCCTGCGTATTATACCAATATTCGTAAGTGACCGCTCGCCCACAGCTTTAGAATTTATTTGAATGCATCTAAAGTGGACATAGGAAACAAAGTGCAGTCGACTGAGTAAAATCGCGGAAAGTTACGATGATTGAAATTTTCCATCAGTCGGCTATTTGTCTTGGCTTATTAAGACAGGGTTATGGGAACCCCCTAATGCAGGTGGCCTCGTGTCGAATTCCAGGGAAATAAAGTCAGAGATTAGGGCGGAGTTTGGGTTGGGATTGAGGTCCTGGTTAGAAATAAGACAAAGGAATGGACGGCTTTCTAGGAACGTAGCGCTAAACCACCTCTATTAAGGGGGTAACTATTCCCGTGTATCGCCCTTAGCTTTAAATCCTGTATTTAGATTTGAGTTCATATGTTCGTCTGAATAAGTCTTGAATTTGCAATTGTCTTTTACGTTCGGTTTACTGTGTGATACCAAACAGAACCGGATTATTCAGAGTATCTATTATGCGCGTCTGGAATTTTGTCCGTGGTTGCAAACGTTCTTGTCGTCGTGTAGATCAATTCGAAGTTTATTCCCAAAGTTTCATGGATACCAGCCAAGTCTTTTTATTAGGAAAGGGAACTGTTAATGTGGATCGTTTCCGAAGTGGAGATGAGTCCAGTTATCGCTGCGTAGTTTTTGCTCTAATCATTCCTGACAGCCATTGGCTTTCTGTTTGAGCTCAAACACGCTTTCCTTGTTTAGTAAGTCTTTTACCTGCCATCTACCTGACGGGTCAGTCGAGGACGTTTGTCAAAGAGATCGGAACCGTTTGCAATTGTCTGGAATAATCCTAGCTGGTTTACATACGGATATAAAAATAGAGGCACAGACCTTCACACGTGGCAAACTAAAATCGCCTTGGATTTTATAACCAAAGTTAAGACTTACTGAATCGAAGGCGGATTACAAGATCTCAATAAATGACAGTACTTCATACTGTATACGGCGCTTGTTGACCTACGATCTCAGGAAACGATAAGGGAAGAGCATCTGACGATTGGAAACAGGCGGATTTGGTTGGCTAAATCTGGGCATAATTGCGTTCCATCTGTAAAACAAAGGTTAATCGTGCAGTGATAAAAAGTCTCTCGGCTTTGATGCGGACATCGTCATCAGGTGAAACTGATCAAAGATCTGTTTTTCGATTTTTGTTAGCGCATAATGCCTTTTCTTGTTTTTTTTTTGAGGCTGCTAATTCGTTTGGCGGGGGGAACAATCGTATACAAAATCCTAAAACATTTGGCCAGCCTTCTAACATTTTTCTCTTTTGCCTACGACAAATTCCTGATTGTGATGATTTTTATTGCACTTTTTTCATTTTGTGGTAGCTATGATCCTGAATTTAAAAACATTGAAACATGGCACCACTTTATTGAATTTGCGGAAACCTATACAACTGGTGATTTATCAACTAATTTTAGTCAAAAAAACACGAAACACGGAGCCTGGATAAAGAGATTAAGGAGGGGACTTGAGAATTCAAGTAACCCACTCAGCCGAAAATTAGCCTAAAAAAGTATTGTGGACGTATGCTTTCCTCTTTATCGATTGCGCCAATATCAAAAATTAGTAGAAAGATATTGGATATGTCTGCATATCGCAACACAGAGAAGGAAAACGGTGGTCTCGTCCGACAACGGTCTACCGTTTTGAAGGCCTAGTCACGGGAATCTCAAAGGTTTTCTGTTTGCTTGAACACCTTCTGCTCACGATATTATGTACGTGTGACCTTTTGCATCACATTAGAGTTGTGGTCAAGACGGTTGCTTGGCAACCAAATGCACTTTCAACTACCCACCTGTTTGGACATCATGCATGATTACGAACACGAAAACATCACCCGACCTGAACGCGCATTGAGTTCTTTGCCGCATAAAAACCAGGGAATTGCATTTCGCATGATGATTTTTACTTCACAATCGGTCCAAGCATGGATGTATTTTGGGACGCCTTCTTTGCAATAAATACTTCTAATTCGGGTAAGAAGTGAATTTCTGATTTAAAGTGCAATCATTTCAACTGCATTAAAGACTAACTTTAATTTCCTAGGATGATAAAAATAGGACAAATCTTTCCTTTGGAAAATAAATTGCGAAACATGCATTACGATATCCTCAATGCGCCATCGAATAAATTAAAAAGTTATCCGCCAGTATTATTTTTGCGAATATTATAAATGAGTTGGCAAAAAGACAAAAGATGAAGTGACAGGTAATGGAGAAAATGTTTGATTCAGCAGTCGTTAGAATTACTAAAAGCAACACTATACGCCTAACTTTATCGGCTATTTTAAATAATTGAGGGTTAATCCCTTGTATTACACAATTCAATTTAATCGCAAAATGAAGTATGCGCTTTCGAGCCGACGACCATTTTCTTTCTAGCACATTTGATGGAGGCAATATGTTTATATTTTTCAGACTACATTCATCATCTAATTTTGAAATTTAGTTTAGGCGGCTAGAGACTGCTAATGCACATGTATGGATGCTTACCTACTTTAGTTCGATATTGTCTAACGGACACACAACAAGTTTGTGTCACTCGAAATATCTGACTTCTCGCCGTTTAAGTTCAACCTGCGTGTCGCGAAAGCAATAAGACCTACATCGATCCATTCTTCTAATAAATAGAATTGTTTGAGTCATGTTCAGATTAGAGAAATAATCCTGCAGATCCGTGCATGAGAATATTGTTTTCAATCACTGTAAGCTAGCATTTGACAAACTCATTCACGGGAAAGTGGAGGCCTTTTGGGTATTGAATTCATAAGAGTTTTTCCGTTTCAAGGTCGTGCCTTTTATTTTCAGAGGTAATAACGAGATCCGAACTCGAAAGATACCGAGCAAAGTATAGCCTCGATAGAACATTCGTAGAAGTAAGTTTATCAACTTTGCTGCTCTTTTTATCATGGGCAGGTTCTTGAAATCTGTAAACCTGTCTGGGGATTTCAACAGTACACGAAATTGAAATTTATACGAGACAAAATTTACGCTTTGTATACATCTAAATACTTAGTATTATAAGGATCTCAGCACACTTCACATAAGGCAACTATAAATGTGCTTGCATCTATGCGCATGTTCCGTTTGTGTTCTCTTTATGGTTTACGATATTTTCCCCTCTGAATACTGTTTTTAATGTTCAGACTCCCGGGGGGCAACTTGCATAACTTCGCACAGAAAAGTTAAGTTTTAAATTAAAAATATCCTACTACAGTCTACACTCATACTCTGCCTAGTAAGTAAGATCTGCTATGTGCAGAATTATAATAACGAAAGCAGTCTAATTGTCGGAACTCGGAAATGTAACCACAGACAAAAATAATGCAGTGACAATACTTTCAATAAATAATAAATATGTAAACAAAGGATCGCTGTAGTTCTTTAAAAGAGTAACCCCGATGCGTCTGCGGTCGGCACTTACTAAGTCCCTAGTCGAAATTTTTACGCTTGCATAGAGGTCTAGTGAACTGTCGGTTCTTTCTGCTCCATTAAACCCTAGGCATGCCGACCTCATAGCAGCAACTGCATATTTTTAAGAGAAAATTCTTTGGTCTTAACATTACTTTAACTCAAACGAACGCAGTTACGTAAGGGCGCTATACCGGCGCGTTAAGATGTACTGAAGTGAAAAGGAAGACAAGGTTACTGAATTACAATATCTTCGACGGGTACTGAGAGCCAATAGTTACCCGTGCAACTTTGTCAACCAGTGCATACGAAAAGGACACCAGAGACCAAATCCAACCTGCCCCAAATTTTTGCGGGCTCTTCCGTACGTGAAGAACGTCTCGGAAGCCGTCAGTCGTCTTCTCACTCCACTTGTAGTTGGGGTTGCACACAGGCCGGAAGCAACTATCAGGCGCCAAGTCGTGAGATCGAAAGACCCACTACCCCGGCAGCAAACGTCTAGGGTCGTTTACCGGAGCTGGTGCAGTTGCGAGCAAAGCAACTACGTCGGAGGAACTGAGAGATTACACCGTACGCGAATTGCCGAGCACGCAGCAGCGGTGAGGCGGGGAGACGCTAGCTCTCACGTGACGGCTCATTCGACGGGACCCGGCCATATTTATAAGTTACAAGAGACCGAAAGCCTCGCAAGGGGTGACAACCGCGTGAGCCGCGAGCCGCTCGAGTCATGGTTTTCAGGCTCGCAATCCGTCAACAAGCGCAATGACCTCCCCTTATTGTATTGCGCGCTGAGATATTCCCTGAACAGGCGAATCGGTCACGTGTGGAGGGCGCAGGCGGGCAATTATCCTAGTGACAGTGACCCAATTTGCCGAGCAATCGTCACACCAGCATCCAACACGGATGACTAAATCACGGCAATTAACGACTCGGGCGCGGACTCACAAGCCACCATCCCATCAATTACGATCCCAGCGGTGATTGCGAGAGCTATTAATTACAGCGCGCATATGGTCCCACGGCAGCCACTTGCTATAAATACTGCACTCCTTGTGCCACCACTACCCTTATCTGTGACCGTCTCTGATGATGGGTTCGGATGAGAATCCGAAACGTTAGACCAAAACATTGCTTGCTCCAGTGATCGCATCTTCGTTTTCTTAACTGCCACCTGGAACTCGCCTGTTCGCTTCTATCAGCAATAATTTAACTTACTTATTTGATGCAAGGCTAGACTCTTGGGCTTTTGGAATGCTGCCGATATAAACGTATGTTTCTTTACTTTTCTGGGGCGGAGAAGCACTCATCGAGAAGAAATATCTTTTTTCGTCTTTCGTTTGATTGTACAACGTTATCTCAAGTAAACAGGCACTATAATTATTAAAACCGCATTTTAAGTTGGTGACTTGCAGGGTTCGACTTCTACAGGTTATATTTTTTTATGTCCAGGGCGTTTTTCACGGTCAGCTATTTCAGATATTCAAGGGACGTTTGCTCACAGGGGTGATATTTTGTCAAAATGTAGTCTGAACCTGACTCAGGTTGAATAACAGCCCCTCGTTTAATTGAATTATTAAAGTTTGTGGCAGCCATCAAGCAAATAAAACGGGGAAAATCACCGTTAGAACGAAATTTTCTCATTTTTTTCAAAAGCACTCCCATGTACCTTGATCATATTTCATACTTGTGATGTAGTTAAAAACTATACCTAGAAACCAGTTGGTTAAAGCAAGAGTTAATTTAATCGCACAATCCATGAAAGAGTAGGCAATGAGTTCAGGGACTAATTAAAGTACTCTTAAAGAGCTTTGGCAGGAAAATGCTATCAAGCAAAATCAAAACAATGATTTTCTGGAGCGCGGTATCAGCCTAATTAGTGAGGGGACGATAATTTTGACGGAGGTTCCTTGCGAACAGCTACATAAATTGAATTTTAACTGATTATTGACGGCATTGTAAATGCGGGATTATTCCCCGAAACGAATAAAAAGCGCCTGTGTTTCGTACGAAATTGCAGTTTTTCTCACTCGGTTTTGAAAACAACTGACCTGCGGGTTTTGTGGAGTTTGACAATTGCTGTCTATTTTCTAGACATTTTATATTTTCGCTAATAGTTTTGCTTGTAAAATAAGCTTAAAGAGCGATTATATTTCAATATATACATGTTTATGAACATATTGGAATGCAAGTCGTTAAGACATAACATTTTTATCTCTGCTTTGTCAGAAATGGCTAAGTGTGTTTGACGAGAAGAAATGTGGAGAAATCACCCTTGAACACTTTTGTGAGGTCCTTGGCCTTAAACCCGTGGACGCGTGAGTTTGTTTTGAAAGTGGGAATTAGAAATTATTTTTGTACTCATGAAGTTTGCATTTAAACTGACGCTATTGCTTTCCAAATCAGATGAAATGCAGTGTATACGTAAGTAGCTAAAAACACATATTTAATTCTGTATCAAGTAAATCAGCAATTTTGGATATTCGGAATGACTTTTGGCCAATAACAAGTGAATTCGTATAACCACAATTTACACAAACCTGAACCATTTACTAAGCGTGAATGAGACAAACAGCCTTTGATAAGCTAATTTGAAAGAATAATCTTTTAGCTCATGAGTGCAGCAGAATCTGGTTATTAAGGCCGTAGGTTAACTTGGTCAGTTACCCATGAACCAGGCGCGAAGAACAAAAATGGATCGTATGCAAGCATGCGAATTTAGAATTCCTACTACGGAACACAATCCCCTTACAGTATTTGGCTTAGCTCATGAGATGTTAACCGAAATTCCGAAATGCATTCTATAGTAAAAGGAATTACTTAGGCGGAACTGCAGTACAGATTGCCATGCTACATAATTCCAAGGTGTATCCGTCACGACAAGATGCCGGCCTTTAAATGAGTATCTTTTCGTCCTTTACAAAAGCACGCATTTTTTCTATTGATTTTTGGTGACCATATAAATCCAAATACCTCTTGGGTAAAATAGGCAGGGAAATGTTTTCGCACCTGTTTGGCAGGAAATGTATCTTCTTCAAATTTGATATTTGAAGGGCATTATTCCGTATAGAATATGTGTGTAATTATGAGGTTTTAAAGACTATGAAATCTCCATTAATATGACATTGTATCTGGGGGACCCACTGATGAGCCGAACCCCTCGCAGCCGCGTCAGGCAGCGGCACAAGATCGGCGAAACACGCGTGTCTGGGCTTTTAGCTAATACCTGTGTTGTTAGTACGGTAAATTATTGGGCAATGCTATACTACTGGCTGCCTGTTGGCGGTTTGTGAATATTAAGCGGTTATTCCGCAGTAGCTGATGGATTTCAGCTCAAATATTCATATCAAATTTCGGACCGTGCCTGAAAAGGCCTGTTTCGAAAGAGTTACTCCAAGTTCGCGCATTAATTTCCTCGGAAATTAAGCAAGGCAAGTATCTGTCTCCTTTTAAAGTATATAACGTGGTTCAACATTCCTTGTAAACTTTTATGAGCCCTATGTGACATTTTCTTAACAGTGCAGGAAAATGCACGATTTCTCTTGCACGGACAGCATGAAGCATGTAGTTTAGAAGTCCTAAATTCAAGCGCAACTGCAGGTCGGGATTAAAATCATCTGGGCATTGAAAACGTTACAAATCTGAATGATGCTCTTTTTCCAAGTATAAAATTTGAAAGTGTGCTTTGTTATCTAAAGCGGGAGACAACAATATTTTCAAGCGTATTTCCTGTAAGTCTATTTAAATTTAAAGTGGCATATTGCATCAATGAAACAATTCCCATTAAATACAGTCATTTTTCTACAGAGTATTGATATTGTAGGCTACTGGAAAGAAGTTCATTAAAAAACCGCCATTCTGTCATGGTAACTTACTGTACAACAGTTATTGTCACAACCATGCCTTAGTGTTTCTTTCGAATCGAAAGCATATGTCAGAATTACGGCTAACATTTCAGGAGACAGAACGGCTATTGTATAACAACCAACACAGAGTGCATGGCCTACAAGCTTACATAGATTACCATTAGCATGTAATAGATATATTCAGATATGTCAATTGGTTGCAGTATATAGAAAAAAAACGCGTCAGCGAATAAATTATAAGTTTCGCCAAGAGAGTCCTTAGTGAATCTCGCAGATTTGTGTAATAAAAAATTCGCATGACAAAAGCACAATTTGTTGACGCGACCTATCGCGTATTAGGCTATCGAACGCAGATATATTCAGACAGCTCAGTAAACGACATTTTTCATATCTTCTCAGCCGTCATGTCCGTACCTTCCTGCGAAATGTAAATACCTTCTTAATTCTCCTATAAAATTTGGATAACTGGGCGAAAACTTGCAGGTCTAGACTGAAATCATTGAACATCAATAAATTTGCGCGCCCTTAGATATAAGTAGTTAAGATTATTTAGCCAAAAGAAGGCCATTTATCCCTTATCTATACGCACGATATGGCTATAGGTTTGAGGTCAGAAAATGCGGAAACCAACTCAAACGTCTGTTGGCCGTGCATTCAATCAAAATGTCCTCATAAAGCGTTTTTCTAAGGACCCAGTTCCGCTTGAATTCGACCCCCAACTTGGATTCGAATACCAAAGTATTTCGGCTATTGTCGCAGAGTTTAAATAATGGAACACTTGGCGCTATTTTGTACTTTCAACCTATGACAAGTTTACTAGCAGCAGCTACTGCTTTGGACTTCCTTCAAAATTGTTCTATTCTTAAATGAAGAAGGAAAGATTCCTTGTCTGCAAAAAAAGTAAAATATTCTTCCTCATAGACCAAATGGGGTGGATCAGGATATTATCCATCCCACACCCTCATACCTCGAGATCTTCCGTTTTTCCATTCATTTGTGGTTTCCTGGAAACATTTTTACTATCGATCAATCAGACGTCTAAAAGACAGCAAGCATTTGCTACAGCTTACATGTTGGAACTCACGTTACTCAGTGTATATTCCTTATTATAAACAATTTGCCGCACTTTCAATGTATTTCGATGAGCTAAAAACTATGACCTGGTAGACTGTCAACTGACAAGATAACCCGCCTCCCCTCTCACGACAAAATTAGGCTGCAATGGCCACTTCTCCCTGCGACCTCAACGACACTCCTATTCAGTTAGGATCCTAGCCACCCCTTTCTTCTGTGTGTGTTAACATCCCGTTCATCATGAGCGATCTAAGCCTGTACGTAGACGCATTTTTAAGCTTTGTAGGCCACTGAGCCTGATCCGCCATCCGGTCATTTCGACTAAGGCAGGTGAGAGAAGAGAGAGTACAGCATATCCTGCGCAGATCTGTTACCAATATAAATTAATGTACACACAAGTCACTGTCCCTGCACCCACCCTAATGTGGCACGTATGGTAGAAGTCATTGCTTGCGATGGTCGAGCTGTAGGTTCACACTGAAATATTCTTAACTGATTATGTCAACAATGACCTGTAATTAACTGATTTGAAGCCCGCGCCTAATCAGCAGTGATCGTAAAAAGTCGACTTCTCGTTACATCCTTTTCCCACATCCTCCTTTGTCTACCTAAAATTCTATTCATTATTCGGAGTTTAGAGCCCTAAATGCAGTTACCTACGTAAGTACTACATAGTACAGTAACTGTGCTGTCTCAGCTGTAAACCGTCAATACTACATGTCCCTTTTTATATGCATTTTATGTATGTATGATGCATTTAACCTGAGCTTACCTTTAGTTAGGCAATAGAAAGGAAAATTTTGGCGGCTCCATGCGTTTTGTACTTAGTTAATCTCCAAATTTACGCGTTCGATAATAGATACAGTGGCAAGCTCCTGCAGCATAAGTTTTTGAAAATGCACTAGACTATTTACTTTTATGTATTTTGACTATTCGCCTTATTATAAACAACAGAAATATCCTGTAATGGGGACTGGCCATTTCCCGATATGATTATTTAAAGTTGCGCTCAAACGCAGGCTGAAAAACTGTTTTATTACTGATTCTTAATTCCTCTCTTTATGTTTATATCGAGCTATGATTATAAAGGTTGGGTCCAGGCTTTGAATTTATTAACTTTGTCAACAGACGCCTACATTTCTCCGCGATTATTCAACAGGACACGAAGAATGTGGAGGTGATAATGGGGGACGTGTCAAATGAAATGAGAATGCTAATGCTGCGGATACTTTGCAGTACTTTCAGGACGTACCAACATGACCGAAAGGTAAGCACTACGGGCTGTTTCACTAACAGTTCGTAATATAGTGTGCCAGATATATTGTTAGTTAAGGAACAAGATGCTCATCGGTCTAATTCTGTAGGTGTATAATAACTTCAAGGCAGCATGGCCTATATATTTGACACAACAATTAGAGACAGGACGGTAAGACAGAAAAAGTAATCAGTAGACTTGTAGCATATGTGATTTAATTTCTCATTTGTTTTCGTCCTCGGGATTACGATGCAAAGTAGATCCTAGTTAGTCCGGTCAGCCGCTGCTTTGGGTCAAATTTAATTATGCGCAGCCCGAATTTAGTGCCCTCATTAAGGTCACCAATCGGCTTAAATGAAACAAAGCTGAGGGGAGAGACGGTGGCTACGAGTGTTTTTAAGGGGCTCAAATGGGCAATGGTCACTCTAATCTTGCAGCTGCGTGGTCGCGAACGCACAAAACAACTCATATATTACAGATGCCAAGACCATTGAGGTAGGTGTGAGTTAGGCAGCAGCAGCAACAGTTTCTTCGGTGCTGACTAACAGACTTACCTTCGCTGATGAGTTCTAGACGAGCGCCGGTAAACCTCTTCGAACTTTAGAAAATTTGAAAAACAAGCCATGTAGGTCATAATGTTTTTTTTTCCATGTGGCTTATAAACTTGAATCCATTGTACACTTGAACAGTTCATTATCAAGTAGGTTTTAGGCGATTTTGTCTAAGCCCGACAATAGGGCGTTAACCCACCCGCACACCGTAGGTGTGGTGGTGATCAGCTGCCTGGGTTTAGGCCACGATTTGGCTTCTGTGTAAAACTATTGGATAGGGAGTGCCTTCAGTTACTAGGCCCAAACCCTGTGGTTTAAGATGGGATGAATTCTGTCTGAAGTAAACGATACAGGGTCGAAAATACAAGGCCGCGTGCCAATCTGGTCGTGAGTACGCAAATTGGGGCTTACCGCCAGTCGCTGACAGAAGCGATTCACCCTGTTCAGGATTGAGGAAAGTCAATTTCATAGATGTTTTGGCTGATTTTGAGTGATTCATATTGACCCAGCTGAGAAAAACTCGGCGCCTCTGTGGGAGTCGAACTCACGACAGTAAGGGGGGGGGGCTTTAGTACAGCCAACACTCTAACCACCTGAGCTAAAACCACCTGAATTAAAGCCTTCCCCTTACTGTCGTGGTTTGGATTCCCAACGAGTTGCCGAGATTTTCGCAGTTGGGTCAGTATGAATTATTCAAAATCTGCCAAAACATCTATTAATTACGTGAGCCTGGTAGTCATCCGGTGGATTCTAGGTGAATCACTTAGGATATCCTTCTTGGGAAGTCAACTTACTGTATCGGATTTGGTGGATTCCAGACGTTGCAGTAGGTTAGGCGAGTAGACTTGACCCACACGGGATTAAACTCGCGTCTTCCGGTGAGACCTCGTAGTCCAGGTGGTTAAAACGTTGGCTGTATTCAAGCCTTCCTCTTACTGTCGTGGGTTCGAATCCCACAGAGACGCCGAGGTTTTCACAGTTGGATCAATATGAAGGTCTATTTGTTACTTCACAGTGGCCACGTCCGCTCGAATGATTGGGTACGCAGAATAGCGGATGAAATATAGGAGGGAATAAGGCGGGTTGTGCATAGAACGAAAAGCTTGGTGAGACCTCGACCGACATGTCGGAAAGTTTCATGTTCGGATGGCCATCTAGCAGTGGAACGTACTTCAAGTACCATGCGACAGCGCAGCCGTCGATAACGACGATGCCCACTGTGTACTACAAAACAGCGTAGGGCAACGACGGTGCCTTGCGCGTGAATAAAGTTGTAGTGAGGCGAACTTGCGCAGCATCTGCTATTCTCTCTGTTTACTCACCCATCTGCTCACTGTGACAAGACAGTTGCAAGACGGCTGATGTGGGCTCGGGCACGATGGCCAACCTGACTATAAGGCCGGTTACGCGTGCCGTACGCGACCTGGCATCGGCGGAATGTACCAGGCTTTTAGATGGACTGCTCGAATCTCACATGCGTCAGTCTAGGAAAGAGCTACAGAGACCGAATCTCAATCCTACGAAGAATCGGATTACTCCGTCAGTTGGCAACTTCCCGAGTCACGACTTTTAGTTTCTTGCGATAGACGCAAGCATTCCGGATTTTTATGGTAATAAATGCGCGATTTGAGGTGAGGGTGGGCGCTCTGTGTCGGCTTCGGTTTCTTTCCTCGCAACCCCCATACACCAACCGACAGTCCAATCCTGTCAACCATCCAACACCTGGATCGGACGCAGTGGTTGGTTTGGCCTGACGCCATACCCAGACGTGGCACAGACCACATATGCGGCAGTGGTTATGGGCTCGCCTGGATTCTGAACAAGCAGATTAGTAAGGCTGTGATCCAGTACATTTGCAGCTTAGTCTGCTGCTGGTCAGCAGCCCATGTGGCAGGGATGCAGGATGCGGCCCAACTTAGGGAATAAAAACCACGTTATCGTGTAATACGGACTTTGTGGGTGGGGCTAGATGGCGGAAAGGTGAACGCGATAGTAAGTAAACATTCGAATAACATCTTGAGGTGGCATACTGCGTTCTCGCGTTAAATTTCTCTAGAGCTACTCGCAGAAGAGCACATGGATCAGAGCCACGATCCTCGAGGAATAATGAGGGTATCGCGATATTTGGCAGTGCAAGCAAATGTTGAACATTTTTCGCAGTTCTTCCAGTTTTTTTTACAAAAGAATTAGATTACATTCCATCTGGTTTCGAGAACGCGTTGACGTCAGTCATAAAAAGATGAGGACGCAATATGCCACAATGACCTAGTTTTGGGTCCCTGAGCGGGGTCGCATCCTGCGCCCTTACAGCACAGATGCACCATAAAATACACAGAAAACCTACGATATCCGAACAGCTGCTGTAGACACTTATTTTATACCTCTAGAACGACGGGTGTATCCGTTAGATGGTAGGCCGAATTGAGTTGCAGACGGTCGACTGATAATATGAAAGTCTTGTGGCCACTAATTCCAGATAGTGGGATAGGCGAAGAATGAACAATTTAACTGGTTTAGAATATGAATCCTCCTACGTTGGATAAAAAAGCGCCTTCTCAAGGACGGCCTTATCGACATGTCCCCAAGAGTTCCATTGAAGTGCCTAAAAATCGGAACGATTCAGATGAGACCCGCACTGCGCATTAAGAATATATAATTAGCTAGTTATTTCTAATATGGTTGTTCTTTAGCTGCAACTTTTGGGAGCTGACGAACAAGACCTTTATTCATTCCCTCTAAGAACCTAAGAAACTCTAGCAGTTCGAACAGAATTAAGCATAAGAATGGTTAAAAGTGTCCACAAGACCATTTTGTATATCTTATTGCGCTATTCAAACGCATTACCCCTGGCTTCAGTCTGGTTATTGACAGCACTGATGCTTTTCAATTGACCTTCAACAGTCCATGTGGACATTATAGAGCTTGCAGCCGTATATTTTACAAAAAAGCTCACTTCCCACTGAGCTGTTTCGTGCAATAAAAATGGGTGTGGTGGTGGAGATTTCAGATGTGCCTGGGTAGGCACCGGTTGTAAAACAGCCCTGAAGTTGCGAACTGTCACTTGAAACCCACAGCGGGAAGTGGTACTGTGAAAAAACAGCTTCAGCAAAAAACAATTCTTTGTGACGTGGACACGGCGGTTTATTCAGATTATCATCTTCGTCAATAATTATGTCAACGCATGCACTGACTTCAAAACACAGCCCCGCACATACGACCACCCTCGCCGCTGATTCACCCAACCGCTCAACTTCTGTGTTTGGCGAACTGCCAAGACAGAAACTACAGGTTCTGATGTGCGGCAGATGTTTTCACATAGGCCTCACGACCTCGGTTCGCATAATCAGAAGCTAAAAATCTATGAATATGTGTATAGTGTTTTGGCCTATTTGCAAATCACCCGAGTCATCCCGAACCGGGCGAAAGGTCGCGACTGATCTACCTTGACGCTAGCAGACGCTTCTGAAAACTTAGATGTTAAGGCTTGAATTTTCATCTTAGTATTCCTACACCGTATATGTTGCTGGGACATTAAGCTAGTCTTTCTATCAACCAGCCTCGTAGCCCGGTTAAGCATGAGAGTATTGTCGCTGTTTTTCACCGCAGTTCAGGTTGATTTTCCACAGCGAAATTAGTCATGCTAATAAGCTTTGGCTGTCTAATTAGTTTATCGAATGTATTACCCTTAAGATTCGATGGAGCAGCAGGCGAAACAGAATACGACTGATACGGAAATTGTTTCACAGTTCGAGGGACATTTTAGGAGAATGCTTCACGTAAATACCCGTTCTTACGGCGAGTTGCCAATGATGGCAATGGATCCCCTAAAGACCTAATCATGACAGAAACAGAGGCGTTTGGCCACACATAATCCGATTACTCACTTAGGAAGTATTGCTTGAATGGGCAAGGAAGCGTCATTGCTCTTGATGGACGCCATGAATGTAGATTATTAAATCTCGTCTGGAAGTATTCCGCGGATTTCCAGTAGCTTTACATAACCAATTATACTACTAAAACTTATTATTAACATCTTTCTTGCGATTTACACACTCGGCAGTCATGTTTTCAAAGGGATGTTTGAAGATAATTTTTCATCGTTAAGTACAGTTTTGAGTTAAACGAGAATTTTGAAAGCCATCCCGCGTGCTTATGAAACACTGTGAGGTATACCTTTAACCTTACCCCGCAATGCCTGCCTCCTATTGATAATGAATCCTTATTGAAGAAAGATGACCCTTCTATCTGTTTGCCAGCTGTTCATCTTCCTATTCCCATAAACCCAAGCGTCGTTGAGCACAAGTACTGAAGAAAGCATTTATGGCCTCTCTTGGATGTCTAAAAATAATTCAGACATTTGACTGATCGCAACTACAATCGACACCAACCATGCAAATCACACAGATCAAGGGGCAAAGGAAATTCAATGTTATTAATTTATGTCACCACCTTGCCGATTCTAAGTGCCAAGAAACCTTATGGGTGGCACTTTCAATGAAGGCCGCTTGATAATCTTTTATCTTAAAGTCGATAGTTTGCAGTTAGTGCTTTTTTCCTGTTAACCCAAGAAAAAGTAGCTTAGTCTTTTGTCTTCAGATTTTGTGTTTTTTTCTACAGGAGTTCATTCAGCAGCTCAAAGCTCGTCTGGACCACCGTTTTGGACCCATTTGGCAATGTCTTCTATCTTACGGTGCCTTCATTGCCTGTGCCGTTCACGTCTCTGGAACTTATCTTTGTGTAAAAATGAACGGTGTCATCTTCCTCATGTACAAGTCGTCAGACACAGAGCTCTGCGACCAGTCGACGTAGCTAATCTGTACCTGCATGCCCCAACTAGAAATTTTCACTTTATTCAGTTTTGTGGCGCTCGCTCCAAACACGAAATGTAAAATAAAACTTTTGTTACTTTAAAGTATTCTCATGTATTAGGGAATAATGTGTTCCTTCTTTCACGAAAGGTCTCGGAAGAAAACAGAGTAGATTCTAAGTGCCATAAACAAATAGCATTTTCGTTAAATGCGTAACGGAAACAGCAAGTGCAGTAAAACTAACAGAAGTTGCAAAATTATGGGACCATTTTTCTTACAGAAAATTTGCAGAGCCTAGAAGTAAGAGTGTTAAATTACTGAAGCGGTGTACAAAATAGCAGATAAAAGTAGTCATCACATGAGAAGGTTATGGAGCAATTGGGCTTGTGTGAGTAGTTGTATCCATGATTTGCAGGCATGATAAAGCAGTGCCAGCAGTCCCCGTACTTCTGCTCCATGTAGTGCTTTATCGCTCCAGCCCTCGCCTGTAGACAGTAGAAATAAAATATAACAGTCCTGAAACCCATTGTCTATTTCACGGATAACACAATCTGTGCGCATAATGCCGATTTCCTAGTCTAAATTTGCGTAAAGTAACCATTGTTTTGTGTATTTCTCACGTTTTTTCCCATGGTAGTTGAGTCCATCGACCGATTCTGGTTACAGAAAGCAGCGCGAGCCTTCTGTTTGGGCGCAGAGCCACAGGCTCAAACGCATGCAGACAGTCGGCAAGAGATGAACATGTCGATGGGACCTTTATTAATCTCATGCAGAGCGAACGGGAAATGATTCCGTAGTCGATTGTCTGAGTCAGTGGCCAAAGAGCCACATTTCAAGCCCTGGAATTACCAGGCCTGGGACTCGGTAATGGGTAAATGAAAACGCTAATACACCATAAAATACGATCTCTGTGTCCGTTGTTTTTTGTCTTCACATATTGGTGTTACTATGTACTGGATGAGAAATGGGAACTTTCAGACAGGAAACAGCAATACATGACTATGGATTATTTCTAAGTGATACTCAAAAACCTTAAAAGTCGAAAAGTCTGTTCTTTGACTTAAATGTCATCTAATGGACTAAAACTCTTTAAATATCTTAGTGCGCCTTATAAAAATATCAGGTCATATTTTATTCGGCAGCACTAAAATATCCTGAGACTCTTCGCAGAAATCTCGGCGAATATGCTAATTCATAGTTAATTAAACCAGTAGTATGGAGAGCGCATTTATTCGTCGGAAAAGATGTGTTGATCTAATAAAACGTCAAGAATTAAAATGAGTTTAACGCACTTTCATGAAGCGCAATTAACTGACTTACCTTTAAATCGACTGGATACTGAACTATGAATTTTTTCGTTGTGTTTAACGAGTCCTCCATCATTTTTTCGCTCATTTCCTGATCATGCACGCGAATTTTTCCCAAGGAGTTTGTTGTATGCGGTTGTTGTTGTTGTTTCCTTCTGTAACAAACGCAAATACTTCCGCAATTATTCTGGCCACGCCAGTCCATAATCAATATTAACAACACGCCGTTCTTTATGGCCCGAGCAAAATCTATAAAAGGTATAACAGATCGCAAACGAAGCAGGTCTGAAATTCATATTAGATGTTCGTATACTCGAAGCCTTAGGGAAAACTCTGAAGAACCCATAAGGGAGCTGAACGTCCTCCTCCCCCACTGCGTTATACGACAGCAGACATATCGGCGTAGCATTTGTCTGATCTTACTGATAATACACTTTTTGAATATTGCGGAGTCACTGTCATATGAAATAATATCACCAGTAGTGCTGTTTGCTTTTAAAATAACCGTATGCTGTCATTCAAAAGGCGTTGACTGTGTTAAAGTAAGATGTACGTTATAATTTCAGGCCAACACTGAAAGCCGTGTCTAGGGCACAGGATTTTATTTCCTACTATGGATAATATGCTAATTCGTTAGATTAACATGCCTGCAAGTTAGACACATTTATGTCGCTTATAAACTATAAATACTATTTAGGCCAAACTACAAGGAGAGATTATAATGATTCCCCTTTCGTCTATCATCTGCGGACTCTCTCAGCACCCATTGGATATGAGGTGCCAAAGGCTGGTCCGTATCGCCATGGGCCCCACTACGTCCGTGCCACATGGCGATGAAGGTTCATGCCAGGACGGCCACTACATCCACTTCGATGTTCATTTGTTTGGACCTTGTCCTGTGCTTGGAAGATCGTTGGTATGAAGGGAAAGCGAGGTATACGTCGTCAAGCCTTCTCCGCTTTAAGTCACTTTACACATAAAATCAATGCATCGAGTATTTTTAAATTGCCGATGGTAGACCCAAGATGTACTTTTCGATGACCTACCAACCAGAATCATGAGGCATTTTCGACAAAGAATGTCGTCCAGTACTGTGTTGGAAATTCAAGACCTTAAGCCTATCTCTAACAGATGACTTTTGGTTACACCCTACCGTTAGACGTCTGGATTTTCAATCACTCTATTAATCTGTGTATTCGGAAGATTAATTGATTCTTAAGAAACAAAATATATTTCTGAAAAATAGAAGCATTGGGCTTAACTACTTAATTAATTAAATTACGACATGAATGTTTTTAGTTAAAAGGTCGTCAATATGACAATAGAGTATTTGGCTTACACTTCTTGAATGTCAACCTGCAGGACGTCGCAGAATTTCTGGAGTGTTATTCTTCCAGTGTTCTGTGGGTCAAACTCTATCCTCCATTTCTGAAAAACATTAGATGGAAAGAGGTAGATAGTAACTTCACGGAGAAACGTTGTGCATCTGGATGAATTAAAGACTGGCTATTATGCAGACAAACTTTTCGGTTTTCTTAACTGCTGCTTGTAAATCCTGCGCCATAAACATTTAGATGTCCAACGTATATATACACCAATTTACATATACCAGAGATGTATGCCTTGCAAGAATACTTAATTAAGGGTCATTACTACTTGCTTGTAAATTCATGTCTCGTCTGCTATAAAAAATCCCGCATAAAATAATTAATATCCTCATCATAAATGTTTACTACATATGACAGTGTCCAAGTATACGGCCCCGTTGCGTCCTGATGTGGATGTAGGGCTGCGCTAAACTTCAGCGTCTGCCACGCAGACCTGTGGTACGCTGTAGACTTGTTCTTTGCACCACATCAGCCAGAATGCGCCATTTTATCACCATTCGACTTGATGTTGGCCTGCATCGCTACAAGGTGGGAGCGGAAGGAGCAGGTGACGCTGATCTAACTTTCTTCCATATAACATTTACGTTGAGCCTGTAAACTAGCACGTCTGTAATACAAATGATGGCCGAACTCCGGCCTGCACCATACTGCTGATTAAACTAAAATTACCCCTGTTAAGATGTCTTTACGCCGCCCCCCACCTTGCCTCGAGGTTCGATTTATTTCAGCATGCTTCGTATGCGAATAGGGACCAACAGGTGCCCTCAGGCAGCAGGCTAGACACAGGCTGCAATATGCAAATTAATGTAAATAACAACGGCTTCGGGGCTGACGACGTGGAGTTTCATCAATGACGATGGAGAAACCACCCTGAAACATGGTGAATTTAAATTTGGAATACGTATGTGGCATGAATGTCAAGTTGTTTACGGTGTATAACAGTCCTTACAAACTCGACTCTAATCAAAGAAACTGAAGCATGTTTTAGGGACAAATGTATCGACATTCGTTGGAACAGCTGGGTTGTTTCTGTAGACCGAAATAATGTTTTAGCAAATATCATCTAAAATATCTGTTGTTACCCCGCAATTGCTTGCGCAAATAACTGAGATGCAAACCTCACAGTACAGACTAAGTGCCTGCGTGGCCTTCTCTGTCAGTACCCTACATCCTGTTCTGTAATTTTCATCTCGTCAAAAAAGTTGGAACTTAATTTTTTTGACAAATCGATCTTAAGTTCACTGGGCAGTTTTGATTCATTCGAACATAAAAATATCAGTTGCTTGCTTCTTGAAGTCTGAATGACAACATTTTTGGAAGATTGGCGTCACTGTGTAATTTAAACTTAATAACTTAGTTTGCTGAAAGTGCATTACGGTCGTCCTTTCGAAACTTTGAAAAGTGAAAAAAATAAACTCCCCACAGTTTTTATTCACCGTGGTCGAATTATTTTGACTAATAGAAACTAGTTGTCTTTCCCGAAGAGTTGCCTTTGAAGGGTGAGTTACCTGCGCAATTTTAGGATTCATTCCATTTTCCTTAGCGTATTTCTCGAGATCCGCGAGAGTAATGTAACCTAATTTGTTTGAGGAAACAAAACATGTTTTAACAGGCAAAGCGTGTCTATTAAAAGAAGTCAGTCATTTTCGCAGTCTGCGCAGTAGATAAAGGCAAAAAGATAAAATAATTCATTGAGAACAGTCAGTATTGTACATCTCTAAAGTTAACTTGTAACTTTGCCCACGACGAGCAAAGAGATATAAAATTAAATTTTTGAAACTAAGCTTCCGAAGGTTAGGTCCAAGATTTTTATAAAATTTTGCATTGACATCAGCGAAAATAATATCTGTATAATTAAATACCTGAAATGACGTTTTTGACCGGAAAATCGTATTACCATATGTTTAACCAAGAAACCAAACTTCAACACCAAACCTACTGACCTACTCGATTGACTGCACCAAGTTGTTTTTCTGAGAAAATCTAACACAATCTTACCCAAATCATCGAATATAATTTGATAATTGACATATAAATCCAAAGTCAAACGAAGTACCTTTACCTTCGCCTGTTAATTTCGGTAGATTTTAGGGGAACAAGTCCATCATTTTCAAATGTCTCGAAAGGTGATTGCAAATTCATGTTAGCTCAACAAGAGAATTTGAAAGTCCATTTTGACTGGATAGCACTTAAATCCTTGTGCCAGCAATACGGCGCGATAGGCAGAATAACTAAAAATACTTAACTATTGTGTTTGGCTTTGCTAAAAAGATTATTGTGATATGTTTTTTCTGATAGAGTTTTAACCAGTTACTTTTTAGTTTCTAAAATGGCTAACAAATCATTGGGGTCGGCCAAAGACCTTTTCTGTCACTAGTCCATAATTGACGGTGTGGAGAAAAGGGCGCTTTATAAAGGGTCAATTATGGATTATTTGTATTTCTTCTACGGGCGTTCCAATCGTCAGTAGCCCATGAGCCCGTCAAATACCCCTGTTAAAACAAAGTAGCAGATTTTTTGTTGTAAAGTGAACATGCAAGACAATCTTTACGATCATCATGAGAAGTAACGCAGCACAACGACAAGCTAGTCTCTGATGCGGAGAAACTATGTCAGAATGAGTCCGACTCGAAGTAACGGCCATAATGTAAACGAAAATTAGTTGTTTGGTTAGCCCCTTTTCATGTTATAAATTTATCTAAGGTGTATTGTCATCCCCATGTGTTTCTCGCTCTTTCTTATGGTAGAATAAACTTAAGTCGCCGATCTGGTTAAATTACCATAGCTCAGTGACCCTAATTTTAGCACTTATTTGGCGAACCAGATTAAGGTGACTTATCTCCATAGGCATCGATTTTTGTCTTCTCATGGAACGCTGTTACGCCAGATGGAATCGAGGATCAAGCATATGTGTGGCATGCAAGACAAAGTAGGGCTTTATGTCACATCAACCGGTGCAGCCGAGCTGATCTCCGCCTGGTCTGACTCAGTCTTGTCAGTGGTGGACGATGTGTTAGAGATGGGAGTACCAGACGCTTCTGAACTATTAAGATACATCAAAAATTGCAGTCTGGAAGGCTGTCCGCTGGTAGAATAGCTGGGAACTAAGATTCATCTGCAATAGATTCTTGTTAACTTAATTTTATGGTAATCCTCACAGGTGTCTCATATCGACATGAACGAAATCCAGTTTGTGGGAATATGTACATAGGTGCGTCATGAATGGCCGAGAACAAACTCATAGCCAGCCATTGTGATGAAGCATACCTGCATCCTCCCAAACATTGTTTTGCCAGTGTAACACCGTGGATGTGAAAAGGAAGGGATTAGTCAGCGCTATGAAAATGTGCCTCGTTTCAATCAAATTCAGGCTCAGGTCATCACTGTTTTCTTGAAGAAGCGGACGTCCTGGTCAAGTATGAGGGAGGAATGACCTATTCCTGGATCAGCGCTACTTAAACATACAGCATGAACTTCACTTTGGACCGTCCTACGGCCATTATAAAAACTAATGACACAGTTCTTTGGAAGGTATTGCATTCAAATATGTGTCCACTGATTTTAGCTGACCATGCTTAATGAATAGTAACATCATGAACATGACCCCCAAAAAATTTTTAACAGTCTTGCAAAAGAATTTCAAAAAGGATAGGGAAGAACGTGTTTATAGGCTTCTTTAAACTATTTCAATTAGCCGGTTCTAAAAACTGAAAGGCCGTTGAATAAAAAATGCAAACGGTACTCCTAACAGCAACCATGTATTGAAGAAAGTCCATCTTCTTTCGTTGGAGATATAGTGGCCATTTGTCAGAGATTGGCCCAGCCCTCACACTGCGATCTCATTCGTTTTGATAAAAACCGCTTATTTATTTTAGTCATTCAGAGGCATTTTGGACTACTGATACGAAGGCCTATGAAGAAAAAAAGCACACATTTCGAAAATAGAGTTTTCTAAAAGATGGCGTTCGCGAACGTTCCGGTGACTGTCGTGATACCCCATAACTATCAGAAAAACGTAGCTTGCGTTCCGAGTTAAACTCCCACCGTGATTGTTTTCCACCTAATTTACAAACTTGTCTTATTAAAACTGCATGGAAGCTCAGATACGTTCGTAAGAAGAATGCCCGGGAAATTGTCAAGTATGTTTTTTATTTTAATGACACAACATAAATAATAATATTTGGTCCTTTGCTCCGGTTTCACCTCAAGGGACAGGTCATAAATTTTTCCCATCCTTTTTGAACGGGCAGAAGTTAAATCATTCTTAAGAAATTTTCAGATGGTTTAAGATCATTCCGTACAGGATTCTGCCTTAGTCAGTAAATAAAATGCGAAAGAAGGCTTGCAATTTTAATGTTTCTATAATGGATTTGGTGGTTTACAGACTTCCTAATTTAAGTTGGGCAGTTGTAAGTATCAGTTATGAGTGCATGAGTAAACTCGTGTGTTCAACGAACGCATAAATTTATGCGTACTCACCCATGCTACAAAAAGACTGCATACTGTAGGCACTCACGTCAGGTTAGTGCAAAGGTATTAGAAAATGCAAGAAGCGATTCACCTTAAAATCCTCTTAAAGTGAAATCAGATAGTTGTATGAACCTTAGTTATTTTCATGCTGACGCAAAAAACGTAAGGTTCTCGTGACTGTACAAACATCCATGAAACTTGTAAGGTAATAGAGAGCGCTAGAAGCTATATACACATATCATACTTGGCTTATTGGAGAGTCTCAAACAGCCCTCCTGAAAAAAGATAGCCACTTCACAGGATTTATCGAGACTAACAATCGAACAAATCTACTTCTGTTGCGGATTGAAAAGGAACTATTTTGTGGTCCCATAGGCGACGGATTTAACTCACCTTTCTGATCCTTATCAACGGCAAGGAAGATTGTCATATAATCCCCCATTTTTGGATAAAATTCCTTCGAGCCAAGGTCTTATATTTCGCGCGTGCGAGTACCTGTGTTCAGCAAGGCTGCAAAGAACGCACTCTGATCTCAGAACCCTGCCCGCACTATCGCATACTCTCTCGCACACACACACAAGCGCGCGGTGAAACAGTGTGGATCGGCTACAGCAAATAGCCCGTCAGTTAGCCTGTAACGAGAACGAATCGTAAATGTGGGTGAGGCCAGTGGAGAAAGAGGTGGCAGACGCAAATGCAAAAGCACAGAGGTACACAAAGAAGTCCAAAATATCCGAAAACCTAGTCAAATCCAATGTAGCCTGTCACGGCATACTTATCTACTCGGTCAGCGAAGCCTGCGCCCAGAGTGGCATGCATTATGCAGATTCGGGGTTTCACAACCTCACCAAGACCTGCGAGACCTGTTGTTGAGAGCTGGCTAAACAAACGGTTGCACAAAAGAGGCACTAACTACAACAAATGAGCCAAGGAAAGAAACAGTAAACATCTGGGGTCCAATATGACTATTCTCGTTAATCGAAGGTCATGTCAATACGTTGGGGAGTTTTTCTATTATGAAAGCACCAACTGAGAATTTAAGGGCAGAGTCGGCGAACGAATATTATTAAGTATATGATAAGGTTCTCTGCGGGAAACTACATGACTATCCATCGTTCCAATTCACACTTCATCAACCCGAATCTACGGCAAAGTCGGACTGAGACCTCAGAGGAAGAACAAGACAAGTTGATTACTTAGATGATGGGCACATCTCCAGGGGTAATAACGACAAGGAAATGGGAAACTATAATGGCCATGTATGGATTTTTGAGCGTCAGGAAAGCAGATAACCCACAACCCCAAGTACGCCGCTCCGAGAAAAAACGACACAAGCATAGTCAATGGTCCGACTGGTTAGAGGAACGTCATTCGTACATCAATGAGTATGCTTGCCCAAGGTATCATACTGGCATTGAGACAGTTAGTCCTATTGTAAGACTGTTATCTTTGACTAAAAAGGCAAAAAGTAAGTTGGAAACGGTCTGAAAAGTGTAACAGATGCGATAGCCGGAACAAGACGTTTAATCGCCGGACATTTCAGATTCTCCCTCGAATCCATCATCAGCGACAGACTTAAAAATTTTATCAAGTTCATGGCAGTGAATACTCACGATTAATTTTCCTGATTGAAGTAGTTTTTTTCTAAAATTAATTCGAAATACCAACGGTTTAGTTAGAAGCGTTTCATGTCTTCTATTTCTTCAGATTGCAACTCGACCATTATGACTGCTTAAAATATCTTTTGTCACTTCGTAAAGAAACCTTCTATAAGACAAAGACAGATACATTTTCCAAGTAATCAGCAAACAGTTCATTGAATGGGCTCTAAACGAAGACATAAGCATGCATTCTAGAATGCGGGCAGATTGCTAACTTTTATCACTACTCTTTCCTCAGTTTGCAATGTCAAAGTACGTGTCAACTTTGCGTAACAGACAGGTTTCTCAAGCGAACATGCACTCCTCCGTTGGGAACAGCAACCGAAAATTTGCGTTTCTGAGAGATGCGCTTGAAGCGACGCGTACTTTTCAGACTTAGAATGTCATACAATAAGGGAATATGCTAGGCGCATCTGACAGTTCTGGCAAAACGCAGAAACCGCGTCAGGTTCAGCCAAATCGGCCACCACGGCTGGAAATCATGTGTATGCGCCCAATCCCACTTTCAGCTGGACGGTCTCGGATGTATGAAAGAATGAGACTGACACCGGAAATTCAAGCTGGCGGTAAATGAGCACATCCATCAGCATGATAAGCCCAATGCGTCTAAAATTATCATGAGGTACCGATAGTCGTGGCCTGCGAGGTTGCAAACTGACACAGATTGGGCCGACTGAGGGTTTGGCCACAATGTTTTCGTCTTGCTGTGGCCTTTGTGAGATACGAGCTGCACTTACAGTAACCTAGTGCATGCGGTGGAGACCAAGTCGTGTGTGTGTTCAATTTCATCACTTGTTGGCTGATAAGCTCGGACAGTCGCCTTGTGCATAGGAAGAGGAAACGAGAGTGAAGCCGACACTATGACATCCACCGTCACGGCAAATCGGTGCATTTATAATTAGAAAAAGCCCGATCTGCTTGAGTCTATCACGACGCGCTAAGAATAATAACTTGGAAAGTTTTCGATTGACGAAATAACCCGATTATTCGTGGGACTCAGAGTCTGGCTCCTTGGCTTCTTCGTAACCTGCCCTCTACGGCACTCTAACTCATCTGAGATCCGAGTCACCCCTTTAAAGCGAAAAAGTGCTGTGATAACCAGATCGTGTGTGGCACGCGTAGATGGACAGTTGCGTTTTGCCAGCCAATGCGTCCACGACCACCTTCGGTCATTTTGGCAGTGCTTTATCGCTGGAGTGAGTGGCTACCGGGAAAGGGCAGTACAGTAGACGCTGCGCAAGTTCGTTTCATTATAAACTAGTTCACGCCCACGTCACCGGCTCTGCGCCCACTTCGTGAGGCACACGGCGGACGTCGTCGCTTGCTATGGTCGAACTGCCAGCTCTTGTACGCGACAGCGAGACTTCGTGAGCGCGCGAAACCACGTTGTGACGCACGGTCACTCCGGGCTCAACGACGCGGTTGGATGGTCGTTGTAAAAGAGTGCGCCGCTGCGGATTGGCATGCATAGGGAAGTGGTGTATGTCAACATCAAAATCGTAACAGGTACTCATAAACAATACAATGTCAGCTACTTTAAAATGCATCGATGAACCTGTCGCGGCACCAAGCTCGCATGTGGGGCTCCACAAATTCATGCCTCGGACGGCGGCCACGCTTCCGTGTCCGGTGTGTGCGTGTGTCCAAATCCCGTAATCGCTCCGCTTTTCCCATGCTGCTCCCAAAACCCAAAGTAAAGTCCTACTCAGATGGCGACATGCAATCTCGCAGGCGACCCAGGCTAATTCGGGTCCTCTTGCAACTATATTAGAGTCCTGAACCACAACAAAGTTTGGCATTTGCCTGGAGTGATTCAGCCGCCATATCCAGGGATAGAATATCACCTTTTCACGGGGGAGGGGCGAGGCTATAAACCTTTTCACTATATCATTGTCACTCCCGGTGAAAAAAATCCATGTAACCACAACCCCCTACATCCCCGCTTTTACCTCCATGCTAACAAACTTTGATGACTTGAAAGACACGCACCTCGCGATTGTGTCGTGAGCTGACAGATTAATCATGCTCGGTGTATATAGTGTCCGCCTCGCTGTCTGCGGCGGAGTACTACGTCACCACGGGATTAGAAACTGCAAGAGTAATGGGCTACTCCTCCGGCAGCCCTTTACTCAGCACGCAGAAACGTCCGTCTCTCACTGCGCGAGAAGTCGACGCTGAGGAATCTTCGTTCGCTTCACGTGCAAATGCTGAACTAAGTACTTGTCGGGAAGCGTGATTGGCGTAATGGTTTAGTGAAAAGGCAATATTCGGTGTGGAACGATCAATTGACTTACGCCCTGTCTCTGAATGAGATCGAAACTGGGACCCGACAGACGTTCTCACGGTAAGAAAACACAAGCTGATTTAAATAATGTGGTGTCGGACACGGTTAAACGCCGATAACGGTGGGGCTAGAAGGAATACAAGTCCCGGGGATGTAGCGGGCCGCTAATGTTGACACCAAGTGTCAGGAACTCAGTAGAGTTACAAAACGCCTTGGATGCGCGACCAACAATCTCATGAATGAGTTGACGGCACTGAAGAACTCCGAAGTTTCCTCTTTGTCCGAGTCCAATGCGAAAAACGGCACCGACACAAACAAAGTCTCATGTTTTCAATGCCGCAGCTGAGTAGAACAGTGGCTGAACATGCGGCAAAATGATTAACTAACTCACAGGACAGGCGATGGTCAAAGGCACGTAGGCTGCGATGAAATATAAAACCTCCTCGTGTTAATGGCATTGCACCGCTTCTCAGCTTCGACGGCACAGCCACACTATCCGAGAGGTCTCGGATTCTGCAGCATCGGTCGGAACACTTCAGGTGCCCCCTGAACGAATAAATTGCATTCGGCAAAATGCTCATCATGAGGCTGCCTCAGGAGACATAAATGTCGGCCGTAATTGTTTGTCTTCTGTGGAGGGGGACAGAAAAACAGAGGGTCGGCGAAAAAGCTCCAAGCATCCATTAGGTTCCCACAGAAGTCTACAAATACGGTGTCCTCCAAACTTCCGGATTGACTGGCCTGCATTTTAGGAGATACGGAGATATAAGGGAGGGCTGCACGACTTTCAGGACGCTACCGGGTTTTGGAAATCCACAGCAGCATCTCACTCGCAAATACTGCAGTCAGCCCCTACCTGAAACAGTAACTTCTTCCAGAAACCGACGAAATTTCTGAAAACCCCGTAAAACCAAAAGAATGGTCTTCGTATCCTGGTGACTGTAAACAAATATCTAGATGAGAACCAGCCTCCATATTACGTTTGTTGATCTAACAAAGGACCTCAAACGTAAACTTGGCTACGGTCAATTCAGTCATCGCATCCGGTCTCATATCCGGTAGTCTCGACTCTTGTCTTGCCGCCCGAACACGGCGCCGATAAATGGGGATGAAAAGAAATGGTTGATACTTAAGTTAGATTCATGATGAGTAAGTTTACGTGAAAGTTATCACTGAATATTTGGGCCAGTTGTGGACCTCGTTGCTTGCGACAACCGCGCGATCGTGTGCGTTCGACATGCGTCTGATCTCGTCGGCTCCGGTCAGCTTTGTCTGAACCAGATCCTGACGAAAACGATAAACGGAAAATGGGGGTAGGTCTGTCCGGCGTCGTTGAGTTGCATTACTTCCCCGCCGTGATAATACCAACGCGTCCAAGCTTATAGCCCGGGAAGTTGCCGGCTCGATGGTCAAGTTACAACGACTTTTTCCTACTGTTACCTGCAGGCCAGTTCGAGATCTCTCTCTCTCTATCTGGAGTTTGGTATATGCATCTGC